GGTCGGTCAGCGCGCGATCAATGAGATCGGTGTACGTGCTGCCAGAAGATTCTTGGACCAGGTAGAAGTTGATTCGGGATGGAGAGCAAAGGCTAGAATGCACAAGGAGAGTAGGCCAGAACACGAGGGGCACAAAGCGACGAACTCTGGTATGTAGAGACAGGAATATACACTCGAATTCGAGATTAAATCGGCGGGTTTTCGACTGTTGCAAGCACTCTGATTACACTTCAACTAATTTACACATAAGCGTGTGTTGGCGACACCTTCAATACCTTCACCAGCCCTGATACTGACAAACGGCCTAGAACCTGGTAGCAAAACACCGCTATATGCTCAGAAAACTGCGGCTTCATTTGCCTAATGCCATTCTGTTTAACATTCCTCTCGTTTTGTATTCCTCGAGATCACTTGCCTTATTCTAACCCGAGTTCGCATTTAGTCAGGCTCGCTCTCGCTCGCCCTCTAGAGTCCCATGCAATACGTCATTGAAACTAGAAATACCAGCACGTCGGAACTTCCAATGCTCAAAAGAAACGAAACATGGAAACATCTACGATCTCGACAACCAAGACAAGGGTTCTAAATGAACACTTTGCCCCTTCTCGGCTGTTGACCTACCCTTCCTTGCTTATATCGGCTCTAGGCTACCTGCTTTTACATAGTCCAATTGTACTTACTCCTTTGCTTCGGTACTCATTTTAGAAACAGATTATGGTAACAGTCTACCTATTTCGCTTCCGACTCTCTCTATTCATAAATTCCAGCAGCCCACACACTTCTCTTCATCATTTACAAAGCTATAGTTCCTATAGAGTTTATACATTAACCAAAACGACTAATAATCATCGGTTCAAAGATTAATCCCAAGTTTCAATACCTCCAAAGGTTCCAGTAGAGAAGGCCATCTCCGGTCGCTGTGTACCAGTGGTCTTCCTCATCATTCTATCTTTGTGGACATCGAAACCCAAAGTAACTCTACTAAAGACAGCAACGTCTCCTCAAAACTATCCAGTGTAAGCCCTAGCTCTCCCACTGTAGGCTTTGTTTCTAATAGCGATATAAGGAATACGAGTCTCCGAGAAGGTGGAGACGCATACAGATATGAGTCACCAAGTGAATGGGTGGAACTATTCGGATACGGATTCGGATATAGAGACGGAGACAAATACAGATACGAGGCCCCAATTGAATGGGAGTAGAGAGGTAGCGACGGATGGGGAGCCAGGGACACAGCAGGAGACGCAGCCACCGGGAACGCAGGTGGATATGCCTCCCGAGCCACGGCGACATATGTCGATGCGCTTCGAGCACGACTCCGGAATCTCGGATTTCAATGGTCCACCCCAGCCAATATTGTCTAGGTGGAGTGCCCACTACCTCTATGCTAAAGCGGTCTTGGTCAGAGGTCGTCCTGGGCGGGAAGAGATACTGTTCGTGAGATATCCCGAAAGGCGCAGGCCCGTCCCAAGATTCGAAGACCCGGGATCATGGAACTTACCAGGATGTCTAATGATGGATGGCCACGATTGTCTTGAGCAACTGGCCCAGGAGATATTTAACCAGGTGTACGTACTTCCAACTAAATCCTCGTTTGTATTAACGCCACAAGCTCACCAATGGCAGATCTGTGGAAATCCGAAATTTTACGGGACTAGTCAACGAAGAGGTTATAGACGTCACGACGGCAAACGGGCTCATGAAAAGCGCTCATATCGTAGCGTTTGGGACCACGTACGAGGCGGATTTGACAATGGACGAAGGCTATCGACAACTGGGCAGATATGTCGACCATCACTGGGTCACGCCACGGGACCTTATCGATCTAAATTTTCCAATCCAATCCCATGAACTGCGGGCTAGCCTTCTACACTTCCTGGAATCTCGGGAGCGCATGGCTAGATATCTATGGTGGTTCTCTTGATGGATCAACGGCGGTTACATGACTTGTAAGCGATTTGAGTATTTACATCTTGAATTATCAGCGTTTGGGTCTGTATTCTAGGAGTGGCCAATCGGAATGAACTGATGGACGGAATGAATAACGAATCGTGACGCGGGGTCACACAGTCGTTCGTTGTACTTTAACTGAATATATCGCATGGAAGCGTTTATGCCCCCAGCCCTCATGATAAAAGATAGGACCGAAGCGAATCAATTACTATATACCTAAGACTATCTAGGCAGCGCGTTACAAAAGTTGTCGGTGGGAAAGGCGGTATATTATCAGACCCTATGTGTGCAAAGCATCGTATGACGAATTCGTGCTGCAAAATAAATCCTCCCTACTGTCGATCCTTCTCATCGTACCATAATACCCATCTACATGAAGTATTTTATGAGGGTTGCTAGGAGTCGGCGGTCCCTGTGGTGTCGCCAAGCCAAACCCTCTTATCGGTTGCCTGTGCAGAAGGGTATAGGTTCCAATAAGTAGCTCGAGTACTGGCTGCAAGTACCGGTAGACCGCCTATTCGCCAGGCCCACTTCTATCACCCAGTTGCCTGTAGGTATTTAAGAGGCATCGATCACTTCCATCCTTCACCCATACTCTCACACCCCATGTGCGTCGTCGGCACTGAGTCCAGCAGAGTGGTGTAGTCACTTTCAGAGCCATCTGCCTAAGTAGTTCACCCTCATCCTGCCATCTCCCGTTTTGACAAGCTTGGTCGGTGCGCGCCATGTCAAGGATTCTGACCGACAGAGAAATCGACGATGCTGCTGACAAGCTCGCTGCATTCCGCACAAGGAACGCAGAGGAGGACTTTCTCCAACGCTATGCCGACCTCCTGACCAGCTACAAGCAACTAAAGAGTGACTACGAAGAGGAGAGGGTCGGTAGAGAGCGCTATAAACAGCTCGCGCGTAATCAAGAACGAAAGCCTTTCGTACTGGTGATTGTGGATGGAGACGGATATATATTTAAAGACGACTTTCTCCAGCAGGGTGCTGAGGGCGGCTCCCGTGCGGCCCAGTATCTAAACGACGTGATTAAGAAGAGCCTCCATGGCAAAGGCCTTGAACATTGCGATGTGATGATCCGCATATATGCCAATCTCGCCAACTTATCACGAATCCTATCCAAATATGGCCTTGCTACCCCCGACAAACGCTCCCTCTCCCCGTTCGTGGCTAATTTCAATCGATCATATGGACTTATGGACTTTGTCGACGCGGGTGAACTCAAGGAGAATGCCGATTTCAAGATACGAGCTCTACTAAATCTCTATGCCGACAATTTCCAGTGCAAGCACATCTATTTTGCAGCCTGTCATGACGTCGGCTATCTCTCAGACCTGACGAGGTTCAGGGGAGACCGGAACAGAGTCACACTTATACGATCATCCGGGCTCCTTTTTCACGACCAGTTTCACAGACTGGACTTGGGGATCGAGGAATTTTTCGGTGTCTTCCGCACAATACCTCTCGATAGTACTGTATTACATACGAAGCCTAATTTAAGCGCGGACTTGATAAAAACCACCCCTCCAACGGGGCCTTCTGCTACCGTTAATACAAGCTATCAGGCTGCCAGTTCATGGGAATCTCAGAAGATATGCCAATTCCACCAGGCTGGAAAGTGTCGATTTGGGGGAGATTGTAAGAATGCACATATCGATCCCAGAATGCCGACCCCAACCAATTCAACCAAGATCCTCTATCCCTCCCAAACGGGTCATCACAACACGGACGCCGATATTACAGGTAGTTCCGGTCGTATAAGGTCATCGGTCACTACATCACTCTCGGAATTCGATAGCGTAGCATCGAGCCCGGTATCATACAGAAGCGATCCTGCATATCACCTACCGAAGAAGAGCGAAATACCAGAGGGCTGTGTGGCCGTGAATAAGCACCTACAGCGCCTAGACCCATACATGCCACCCCCTAGCCCGGTGGCATCCAATACACTTAGGGAGCTATCTAACAAAAGAAAGTTCTGTAACAACAAACAACTCACGAATTTCTGTCCCAACGAGAACTGCGAATATGAACACGAGCCAATTCCGAAAGAATTGCTCCCCGCGCTAGAATGGTTGTCGCGTTCACTGCCTTGTACCAAACGGGGTTCTTGTAGAGCCTATTCTTGCGTTCTCGGCCATATCTGCCAGAATACGGAATGTCAACATCGCGGCGGCAAGATTAAATGCAAGTTGCCAGGGTACGCGCACTCGGTCGACCTGACAGTAGACCAATACCTCCCCGACCCGATTTACGCTGGCACGGTCAATCAGAGTCCTAGGGACAGTAGCCCTAGTACTCTTACGCCCTCTCAGTTAAGCAGTCATGTGAATCAGGTCCCCGGAATTGACCCCTGGGATCTTTCTTAGTTCGACACAGACGGGAAACTTGGAAGCGGCTATGGAGCAAGCAGGAAATCAGACGACAACGCTCAATTATCGACGGCGAAATTCGATTGGTCATTCCCTTTCTAAAGGATAGTGGTTGACCATGCGTTCCGACTTTCGCAATTTTACCGAGCGACGAAATATAATGGCTTCATTTACTCTAGGGTATGCACTGGCATGTTGACGAATGTAACAAATTCGCCAAATCCAGCATACCCCAAACCTCTTTGACGAGAATTTATTAAAATATCATAAGAAATGAACGAAGACTATTAACGAGCTTCGTGGAAATGGACATAAGGACAAAAAGGGAGGGCAATAACCGGAGAAAATATCGGGGCCTTAAATAACAGTGTGTTCTCGTAATAATATACGCTCGTATGTACCCTCATATGCCTACATTATCCAAGTCTTGAAGGCCCGATCTTGCAACTAAATACACGAGCTAACGTACCGGTACAAGTTGTGGATAGTCTTCATTCACATCATGATACCGCAGATGTACGCCCCTACGAGAATGCGCCCGCACAAACGAGTCAATGTGCCAAGACCTTTTAATCCACAAAACGGATCTTGTGCCACTGGCCAACCTTGCATGCCTATCCCAGTTAGGTATCAATCCTAGTAACAATATCAATCTTCATCAAATTGACCGGCCTCGTGGCCCAATGGCAAGGCGTCTGACTACGAGTGAGACTCAAAATGGGCGCTCAAAGTGATCAGGAGATTCTGGGTTCGACCCCCAGCGAGGTCATCGTATTACAATCGATTCTTTTTTTTTTTTTTTTTTCGGTTTTCATTTATTTTATTTTAGATGTACCAATCCAGCTCGTCCTTTTTGACTTGGTCAGTTGCACTCGGTAGCGTTCGTTTGACAACGAAAGGGTCGGCGGAGGAGAGCTTGTTTACAGATTCATTCCACATCATAATAGTAACATTTGACCAAGGCATGGTATCTCAGCATCTAAGTTAATTGCTAACAAAGTGGTTGAGCACTGCCACGTCTGCTAGATTGGTAATCTCTTCTCGGGCCAAGATGTTGGTATCTCCCATCCTCGTTAATCCATTTTACCGATCACATCAAGCTTCTTCCACTCTATCAAACCAGATAAAGAGAGGACTTTCAAATTCTATCCCCAACTTAATAGCCTTGTCATTCTCAAACATGAACTTTACCGGGACAAGAACTTCAAGGCCTGCCTGGAAGTCGCGTAGATGAGCTATGTATTCCGTCTCGTCGCGTACGTGGTCGAAAACCAGCGAGAAGCCGAACGACCGGTCGGTAGCATCGATGAAGAGTTTGCTGTCCTTGATGTCCACAGTTAGGCCCTTGTAGCCTGGGTTCCAATATTCGCCCGTGTAGGCACTGAGTGGCATCTTCTGCGGCTGTGCGTCTTCACGCAAGACACGTCGCATCTCTTCCTCCTTCGAGTCATTCTCATATTTTAGATTCCGGTCGGTCACCACTTTATCCCAATCCGGACGTTCTGACAGCGACACTCCCAGAACCTCATCGATTAACTCCCGGGACAGAATCTCGGCCACGTCTCCCGCGCTGTCGGTGTTTCCAAAGATAGCACCGCCGAGTTTCAAATCCGGTACGAAGAAATGCTTGCTTCCAAACCCCGATATCCCACCGTCATGGCCGATCACCATGTACCCTCGATAGTAGAATACTTCCAAGCCAGTAGCGTACACTATAGGTGAACTGAGCGGATCCCTTTCATCGACATCCTCAGTCGTGAGGGTTCGCATCTTAACAAGCCCTTTGTAGACCTCCTCATCAATAGGGTGCTCCTGGTTCATCATAGCCTTTACCCATTTAATATAGTCATTCACGCTGGCCATGATCGAGCCAGCTCCCTGATCTTCAGGGGAGTTTAGAGGCTCGAAGCCGGTGTAGCGCTCGGTTTCCTTATCCCAATGATAGCCGGTAGCAATCCGGTCGCCAAGACCGAAGGATCGAGAACGCTCCGGCTGGAGGTGAGACGAGTGCATCCCAAGAGGTCCAAAGAAGTGATTCTGGAGGAAATCGGCGAAGGTGAGTCCGCTTTTCTTTTCGACGAGGTAGGTCGCGACCGTGTACATTATGTTGTTATACATGAACTTTGACCGGATCGGCGCGGTTACTTGCAAGTTTCGCAGGTTTCTCGTGACAGATCGCGCATCATCTGGTCGTGCCGCTTGTGGGCCGAGATACGAGTCATCGTGACTACAATTGTCAGCCACAATGGCCACTCCGGACCTCTCTTTGTAGGTTCTTACCGCGGCAAACCTGTCCTATGACTGAGGATGTCCTCGACAGTGACCCCCTCCGTATATCCCTGGCCCGACATGACGAAGTCTTCAGGTAGAAGCTTCGACATGATCGCATCGTACTGCACGTCGGGATATTTGTCGTTGTCACGGACCAGTAACCCAACCGATGCAGCCGTCAGCGACTTTGAAGAAGATGCGATGTCGAAAAGAGTGTCCGCGGTACATGACTTCGGGGGGTCGAGTGATGCTAGCCCGTAGCCCGCGGAGAATATGCGCTTGCCCTCTATTACTGCGACAGCAAGGCCAGGCACATGGTACTTTTGCATAAGCTTCTCGATGTGCGAAGGGAAGTCTAGAGAATGAAGATAATCCATCGTGCGGTGCTCGATCATGCAAGTCTTATGAACTTCTATAATAATCGGGTTGCCTTGTAGGTTTCCAAAGAGCCCTGGTGAACTTACTGCAATCCGACAAAGGAATACTCATTTTATAGTATCCGTAGGTAGTGCAGGCAGTCGTTCTTGAATCAGCCATTCGCAAGTTCGCATTAATGAGTCATCGCCGAGACTGCAGGTCAGATTGAACGACAAGCAGCATTGGTCTTGACGGTAGCGTACATAGCCTCATATCCAATGACAAATTTTCGACTCATATGTACATAACGTAAAACATGCGTAAACGGCGTATACAACGCGGTGCCATACGATCTAATCTCCAATAATCACCGACATCTTGGAAGATGATTATAATTCGAGGTCATATTCCAAGCCCTACCTAGTAGTCTCGGATCTAGAAGCTAGAGAATAAGCCCTACTATAAAGCTAAAGACGAACACGGCAAGTAATGTGGCGATTAACGGCATCTCTGTTGGATCTGTAGGCTCAATGACTCCGCCAAGTTCCTGTGATATCCGTTAGGCACTTCGAAGAGTCTAAGCCACTGAGAGGTACTTTAGCCATCTGTCTACTTCCAGAACCACGACGCGACGTTGGCACTTGTTTTACCGCCAAGCACCATGAGTCCTACGTAAGGAAGTATAACACCACAGTAACATAGGAAGGCCACAGAGATGTAGTGGGGTTAACCAGAAGACACGAAAGTACGAGTCCTTGGGGAGTAGACTAGTAGGGGTTGTCGTCCTGCGCGGCAAAGACTTAGAACTATAATCCGTTAGTTAGTCGGTCGTTCTTCTAGTGCGACCATTATTGGGCTGTAGACTATTGCCTAATGTGTTCTAGACACGGAGGCGATGAGATCACGGCCGGATGGTGTCTTCGTCGTCTAGCCATCGACCGGGGCTTCCGCATTCCTCTACAGCCATTCCGCCCGGTCGTTAAGCTCGTTTCAGAAAACCCGGGAGTGGATTCACTCGGGTCTCTTCGGCTTATCACGATATTCCGACAGACATGCGGGTACGACATGGCCTATAACCTAGCTCAATTTCGTTACCGAACAGCCATTGCTGTAGTGTAGGGGATTGTGTTTCACCTATAGCCTTAAAATGACATGTTGTGATCCCCTTTCGCCTTTCAGTCGGACAAAAGATCCCGATTCCTTCCCGCCAGAGACTTCGATTCGAGCGGTCCCGTTACTCCCGATAGTAGTGTCACCCATGCGTTGTTACCTTTGAGACTAGTAATTGTGGCGTTGATGAACTCCGCATCTTCGTTCCAAAAGACATCTATCTCAAACCCACCCCGCGCAAGGAGCCCCTTAGCAAACCCGCCTCCATTGCTCGCCCACTGCGACGGTAATGCAGGTAACAGCCGGATTAATGCGACCTTGTCCTCTTCTCCAGTGTATGCCGACTTCAACACGCCCGATATCGTTGAGACGTACTCGTGGCTTTGCAAGATCATCTCGGCAATACCGGCCGTGCCCCCGAAATTCCCGTCGACTTGGAACGCCGAAGGCTCATTTACATTGAGGAGTGAGGCAGGGTACATGAACTTCGTAAGGAGGTGAATTACGCTGTCCCTGGCGGTCTCGGAATCGAAAGTCCTCGCCGCGAGAGCTATCGCCCATGCGCGTGACCATCCCGTGTCGCCTCCGCCATTCTCCAATCTTCGGCTGATGGTCTTCCTTGCTGCGTTAAAAGTCGTCGAGTTGGAGATCGTGATCTGGTTGCCGGGATAAAGCCCGAACAGGGGCGACCAATGGCGATGCCCGGGCTCTGTCTCCTGATAGTCCTCTATCCACTCTATGATGCCCCCGTTCGAGTTTACACGAAGGGAAGGTAGTCGTTCTCGGGTCTCCAGTACGTCGCTAACGAACTCATCGTCATCGATCCCTAGGATCCGCTGCGCGTCGAGAACAATGCCGAATAGCGACCATGCTATAGAGTTGTCCATAGTAGGTCCAATTGTGATGGCGGAAGATTGTTTCGCATTGTTCGGTAAGTAATACGTATTCTCAGGTGAAATGGATGGGTTGGTCACCTTCCACCCCTTGTAGTCCGTCAAAAAGTCTACGAAGAATAAGGCAGCCTCTCGGAGAGCGGTATAATGTTCTCGGAGAACGTCGGTATCACCCGTAAACTCGTAGTAATTCCAAATGTGCGTCACCATCCACGCAAGACCGGATGGCCACCACGTAGACGATTTATAGTTGTCCTGAGGTGCGGTGTCTCCCCATAAATCCGTGTTATGATGACAGACCGCTCCGCGAGCATTATACATCTTCGTCGCCGTGGTGATGCCGGATGCTACCATTTTCTCAATGAGATCGAACAAAGGCCCGTTCAAATCAACAAGATCTGTATTCTGTCAGCTCTCTGTCGGGAGATGCGATGGTATGACGGCTACTTGTGACGTAAGACGGCCAATAATTCATTTGGGTGTTGATGCTAAACAGCTACCAGTCAGTTACTACTCAAGATTGTAGGACGTTCAAATATAGCATAGATTATAAATATCGATGAGCAGTAGCTATGACTTCACTAGACGTGATCGCGTATCCGCCTTGCTTAGCTTCGCTTGTCTTGTGACTGCAAGCAAAGTCGCTTACTTGATGGTATATTTCGATCCCCATTGAGGATCTAGGTCTCGACTCCAGATACCTTGCAGATTCGGTGGCAGCGTATTATCCCTCGAGGATGCAATGAGGAGATACCTTCCGAATTGAAAGTTCAAGGTTACCAACTCTGGATCAAATTCACCTGTCAACCTTGCCATTCGATCCGCAGTGTCTAGAGCCTTCTGCATCGGAGAGGAAGAGCCGATATTCAAGTCTACCCGGCCGGCTAGTTCCTGATAGTCGGTAATATGAGCTTGCCTAATGCTTTTGTAGTCCCGGTTAGAGATTGCCTTCAGATCCGACAGTACCGCCTCTCTTGGATTTGACTTCCTGACCGTAGTCCATGATGTGAAGTATATCCAAGCCTCGTCTGCGTTGTCACAGATGATGTGATCGCCAATGGTCTTGACTATACCGCCATCCGAAACAACTCGAACGCCTGAAGCGAAACCAATGGCATCTGAACTAGCGCTCCCACCC